TAAGGTTTTCTGCAATTCAGTAGGTTACAAGTAGGTCAATGTATAATGAATTGTATTAAACTTGAATTCAATGATATTATAATATCATTGTACTTATAAGAAAAACGATACTGAGAGGAGAAGGTTTGTCAGTCTGGATATTTTATATTGTTATTATTTATTAGAGCCTGTAGGTTGAGTTAATATTATAATATTATTATTTTTTACTCGTTTCTATGGTGATGAACTAAGCGTTAGAAATTAAAATCTCGTTTTTAGCGATTTTTCGTAATTTGTTGGTGGTTTTTCAAGTGGCACTAAATAACTATTGATAAAATCGAAAAATGACCTCTTTAAAGTACCATCTTGATCCAATATGCTAAGAGATAAGATACTATATTATGTTGAAATCGAAGCACTCTTTCTGGTAGTAATTTTTTATACAGGAAAAAAAAAATAAACACCATTGTAAAACCACTAGCTTCCACGCACCACTCAGAATCTAAAATAAGAAAAAAAAACAACATAAAAACAATGCAATTAATAATAATTTTTTATTATTATTAAAATCTATGGTAACCATTGATTAGCAAAAATTTCCAAAAAAATAATGTAAAAACAATGCAAAAAATTTGTCCACCGAAATCGTGGTTCGATCCCCTTTTTAAATTCCTTGTTTAAGAACCTCCCTGGGTTGGAACTATTATTTTACCTTTTTTCTTGACCATCTTCTTCCCCGTGGTCTAATCTATCCCTGAACCAAATTTCATCGCAATTGGATGAACGGCTTAGGAATGTATAAAGGACATAAGTGCAAACATTTTTTGTCTTTTATGTATATAGATTTAACAATATTGTAGTAGCTCATCAGAATATTTATCAGAATGTTGATAGTTATAGGTTATAGGTTAATTATTAGACTGCACTAGACCATAAATCTTTTTTTACTATTATTTATTTATTAAATATTTTATTTGCAATCTATACAATATAATTAGTACAATGAGTAAATTGTATACATGGACGCATGGTTATTAACAGGAGGTAATGTTTATGGGCAGGCACCAGTAGGTACTTTTTAGGTATTACCTATTGTTTTATTTATTTGTTTATGAATTATTTTAGTAGGTTTCTAGGCCTCTGTTTTTTTTAGTCTTCTCCGTACAGTGCCGGGAAGTGAAAAGGAACATAATTGTATCATTAATGGGTTACAGTGAGAGTTTATGTTAGTATGAAATTTAAAGTAATATATTATATAATTTTGCTAATTGATTAAGGTCTTTTTGAAGATTATTGTTTGTGAAATACTAAGGAGAAAACGTTACTAGTCTTAAGCTGTAAGCAGATGGATTGAAAAGCTTGAAGCGTTTTGGTATTGGATGGCTTTGCAGAACCCTATAACTGAATACCGTATGTCCGAACTGATAAAATTATTAACTTGTATGTGGTAAGTTTATTGGATAGTGGGAGTTTGGATTTCAAAAGTGGTCTTATAGGAGGTGACGTCTAGAGTTAACAGTTTTACGTTATGACCCACATACATCTAAAATACGAATTATAACAAATTGGTTTTTATTAAAAACATTAAATATTTCATACTATGAACTTTGAAATTTACACAGATTAAGTACCTATGTATATTTCTTAACACGCTTGGAACAAAGTGAAAATATTGTAATTTGCACAATATTATTATTATAAGTAGAAGTTTCTCGAAAACGGAAATACATTTTTATATTTTACAATGTTTTTATGATTTTTGTTGTTTCGTAAAAGTAATTAAGAGAACCAGAGTTTTGGATAACTGTTACACAGTACATTGTCCGAAGTGTGTGTTTTTCTGAGAAAATCTTGAATACTACAAATAAAATATAACATTGGATTCTTTATATTTTTCGTTATTTCTTTCTCCATAATAATTTATGGAAAAATAGTCGTTTCATTAAATTACTTCTATCTGACTGGTTGAATTAAAAATACTTTAATTACATCATTTCAATTTAAATTGTTTTTTTTTTTAATTATATCATTAAGCAGTCCTAATCTTTGTACTACTAATTAGATTCTCAGAGTAGCGATCAAATTATTGGTTTTACAATTAAACTAATTTTTCTTTTATAGTTTTGTCTGACACTATTTAAAATTGGAATATAAGTAAGAAGGTACTTTAGAGACTTTGTTTTTCAAACTTCACGTGATTTCTTAAGAGTGAGAATAACAACAATGACATTTACACCAAGATTATTTATTTAATAAAAATATATTGACTGTTTTACCTATAAGAATTTGTTCATTGCGAGCAGTGTCCGCTTAACGTACAAATTGAATAGGTATATTGAATAGGTTCTTGAAAAGTTTAAAACGTTTGTCCTTGTTTACGTTAAGTTGTCAACGTTTACGGTTCACGTTGTTATATTAAATGAAAAAAAAGGTGCTCTGCTGTGCAGTAGGTTACAAGTGGGTCACTGCATAATGGATGGTATTACATTTAAATTCAATGATATAATATCATTGTATAAGAAAAACTATTCTGAGCGGAGACGGTAAGTCAGTCTAGATATAACTGTATAAGACATATTATATACAGTATCAATGGTATTAAAAAAAAATTGACCTATAATAGGTACCTATAATAAATTCCAAATTAATCATATCACAATATCCATTAGGTACTTATAACGGGTTGTACATCAACAAAAAACCGTGATACTACCATAGATATATAATAGTACACTTTAGAAGTTTCAAGTACCCACGAATAATATTGTATAATCACAACAAAATAACTAAAATAGTTATTCCAGGTTTTTTTTATGTAATTTCGTCCAAATTTGAACTTAAAATGACTATAAAAATAAACTGCGCTTGTGTATTTATTAGATTTTTTGATAACAGAATAACTACTTAATTGGAATCTTGTTTTAAATTTGGAATCCTTAGATATAAAAGTTGAACATTTTATAAATTTTTAACTACAATATGATTATTCAATTTTAAATTTGATAAATTTTGTCAAAATTCGATCTTTAAATGCTTATGAAAAAAAATTGTGCCCATGTATTTTTAATATTTTTCGACTGATATTATAACAATATATCAGGAGCCTTGTATTAAATTTTTACACTCTTTGGCCCAACAGATAAAACTGAACTGATATTTATAGAAAAAAAAATTGAAAAAAATGAAAATTGAAAATGTCCGTAAACAGCTCAAAAAGAGTCAAAATATTTTTAAAATTGTATGGTGTATATGAAATTCTAATATAAATATTCAGTGAAATTTTCATGTATCTACAGTTATTAGTTTTTGAATTACAACAAAATAAGCAAATCGCTACATAAGAAATCGAATGAATATCCAATGATGTAAAAATATGAATTTCAAACGCGTATAAAAATTTCATTTGACTTTTTTATACACATTTTTTTTTCGATAAAGGTAGTCAATCTTATAAGGAATCTTGTACTACATTTTAAAATCTTAGATTTACTGACACAAAAATAAAAAATTAAAATTAATAAAAAAAAACACACATCATTGTAAAATCAATACATTCATCGTTCCACTCAGAATCTAAAAAAATTCTTTTCTATTCTATTCACAGTAGAATTTACACGGTTTTTATATGTAAATTTACTGTTACCTACGTGCTGCACATGAATACAAGATATAGTTTTTTTTTTTGTAAAAAGCATCGCATTATAATATTATTATAATAATATTTGCATTGATCTCAATGCACGAGTAGTCGATGCATCAGGATATTGTGATATTGAGTTAATCCAATGGTTGGACCACACGTCTCTTGGTGCCGTAATTTCTGTGCTTTCGCATTGCATATTTCATCAATAACAATAAATTCTAGTTAATAAAATTAACGTTTTTAATAATTTTCAACTACTGTTCATAAATATGTTAACATTGATTATTTATGAGAAAAAATAGTATTCATCAAAGAGATCAATGATAATACCGGTCATTGTGCAACGTGTTATTCTATTATACGTAGGTAAATACTGTTGGTTTTAACTTTTTCATACCACACTGCTCTAAATTGTTTGAAAAATGTTACATTGCTTATTCTCCAATTGAGATAAATTAAATTGTTCTCCAAGCACGAGAAATTCGATAGTAATTAAGTAACTAAGTTATTTGGTTCTGTGTATTTGATTCTAATTTCTATTTGTATGCATTATATCTTTGCTCCTTCATTTGTCGTTATTAACAATTACTAACAACTTGTTAGTACTTAGTAGTCTCATTAGAAATCGCCATACTATTTTTTCTCACGTTTAACTTGTTTTCTATTCAATTTTCAATTAACCTTTTTTTGAAATGTTTTGAGTTACTTATTGTATAACAACTACTTATATTTAATAAGTACATACTGTATACCTAATATTATATGTTTGAATTTATGAATATTACAATATTTACTTAACGAATTGATTTTATTAATTTGTTTACAATTATATTTCATATTAACGTATATGTATTTCGAGGTAATTTATTTGTTGAATTCTGAGTGTGGCTTCCGTCATAAAATTATTTTCATTCTCTCTGTAAACGAATTTACTTCCCTTTTTCGTGCTAAATTTGGCGAATATAAATCAATAGAACTACGTTGTCGTAATCTCGAGGGGTGGGACTGTAGGCTATACAGTATACATATTCATGGGGTATACGTTATGTCTAACAGTTGTTAGGTTAGTTTAAGTATAATGATATAAAAATATATGACTAAGAGCATCAGCGACAATATATACAATATAAAATTAAATCCTAGATGTAACGCATTGATGTACCATAATATTATGTATAATAGTAATAGTGAAGTTTGGAAGAATGCGTTGTGCAGACATAATAAAAATATATAGTTATAATCACAGCAGGAAATTAATGATGCTACAGGCTAATGAGTTATGAACCATGTATACGTCATCTTTAACTACTTTATTTTGACTACTGTCGGGCACAAACCATAACGTATCTGTTTCAACTGTTTTAATTTTTTTTAACAGGTTTCACGATGTACACAACTTGTGTCATATGGCTCGCGTTCGTTCCGCTATACTTTGGAATTGGCAACCATACTCCGCTGAGGATAACTACCATGTCAGTAACCATTAGCCTTTCCGCTAGTGTAACTATAGTTTGCCTGTTCTCTCCGAAGGTACGTACTATACAATGTTAATATATAAATCCCGTACACACCATCGTATCATAATGTGATCTGCAGTAGAATGTGTAATTAACTTTGTTATGGGCAGAGCAAAGTATCAGTAAATGCTCTCTTTACCCTTTGAATTTGGTAAATTTGAAATGAAATAATGTAAACATTAGTTTTTTATTACAATGTCCGGTCTGTTGTAACGGCGGCGCGGGGCCGGTCTAAACGGGACCGAATAATGTGATCCATTAATAAATTAAATTACAAATGTATGTTATTAATATAATATTATGTACAGTTATTAATTATTAAATAATACACTTCAATTCCAAATGCCCAAATAGTAATGTAGGCATTTCCGGCCTATTCTAATAACTAAAAAATATTCAACACTGTCTTATACTTTTATATATTTTCTAGATACCTAATAACATTAAAACTTAATTATATTTATAACTACTTTAAAAGTAGGTACTTACATTTATAGTATTGAGTTAATTAGAAATATTTTATGATAAAATAATATAGTATTTCTATGTTCATTACTTATTACAATTTACAAGTATGAAGCAAATTTCGATAAATTATTTGAAAATAATTAAAATTACCTTATTAATAACAATTGAGTATATTATACTAAATAACAATGAGATATATAATTATTTCGTGTGGCACCGTGTTTGCATTCAGTCACAAAATGTGCTCTGAGTGTATGCACTGGTCGGTGTCACTATTTCCCGGATGAGTGACCACACGGGATTTTTAGTGACAAATCCTTCCCACACAGGTGTTCAAACCAACAGTAGCATCCCTCACAAACGATGACACAGTTGTCGTAACCTTATTTTAAAATTTAAACAAAAATTATTCTATGTATAATTTAACTATAATTGTATGACTTAACTGGATAATAAAATATTTTTAGATATTTTACATCTCGCTTGTATTTTAAATATAGTAGAATATATGCCTATAAAATTGGACATAGATTTTTGAACTTGGGGACAATTCGATGTCAAAAAAAAAAAAATATTAATAAATCAATTAATAAAAATATCAGTAGTAAAATTTTGAAAATTAACCCCCCCCCCCCACCAAAAAAAAGGATTTTATTAAAATACACCCAATAGTGAATAAATCAGTATTAATATATTTAAAGAAAAATTAAAAATTAAATTAAATATTTTGGGTGATCCTATACTTAAAAATTATGTTTTAGTTTTGGTTATAAATAAATTATAAAATCAATGATATGAAATGTTCATAATACAACTATAACAGTATTGAATCGTATCGTACATTATACTATTATAGCTTATGATTCATATTGAGTATTACCGAATTTTATCATTGGTGGAATCAACCAAAATATTTTACTTCATTAATATGTATTATTACATTTTAATTAAAATTGTATTATAGTAAATATAAATAATATGAATAAGAATAATTGTTTTTGATACTGTATTTTAATTTTTGGCGTGTTATAATAAATTACTTTTTTGATATTATATTTCAAATCTTAATGTTTACTACTTATATTTTTATTGATTATATTAATTATGAAGATTTTCTTATTGAAGTCAGATTGTCTCCACGGCCAAACGGTTACGCTCATTTGTCCCTATTCGTATAAAATAAAACCTACAGATAACAGAGTTACAGCATTTTATACTTTATAATATTATATGATAATAATGGCATAAATATTTTAAACATAATATTAAATTATCAATTATAATAATTATTGAAATCCGGTAGTATTACAATGCCGTTCAATATACGTTTGTACATGGTTGATTGCTTAATTACAACGTATATAATATTTCTGTTCGAATAAATTGAATAATAATTCTACTGTTTCCTACTTATACATAATATTATAAATTATACAAACATAACATTATACATATTATGCACGCATTGTATGATTGATATTCTCAGTGTGCATGTAATTTCAAAACAGATTTGTAAATCGGTATTAAATTTTTTTATAATGACAGCTCTATAATCGATGACACATGAATGATTTTTTTATTAAAATATTATACATTTTGAATGTCAAAAAAAAATCAACAGCTTGTTTAAAAATTTTATAAATTGAATTGTTTTTGGATCTTGAAGTTTTTCCCAATTTTCGACAACTTCAGTGTAATTTTAAAGATAAATTATATAATATCACAAATTTTCTTTCACTTAGTTTTCTTGGTTTAATGAAAACGAAACAATAAACTAATAATTTAAGTTTTGCGATAAAATCTAAACTGCTTATCAGTTAGTTTTCGGGATGACGACTTTATTACCTATAGCTTTAGGCAAAACTTTCACATATTTTGGTGACTTTTTTAACCACACATAGAACTATTATTCAACTTGTTCTAGTTATACATAATTTTGTGTCATCCGGAACGAAACGTGCGACAAAGTATGATGCCAAATATGAAATTAACGGGCACGAAAACATTTACAACATCGAATACGAATGCATTTTGCAACAATTCAACAAGACGGCGCAGCTCATTAGCTTATAAAGGTACTGACAATACTATATATTATTATGTTAATTTAAAAATACAATTTGAAACGAAAAATAATAAGTAATTACAATTGTGTATTTGATTATTAACATATAAAAATCCATAAAGATCAGAAATAGGTATGTATCAAACAATAAACGAGGAAATATTATGGACCTAGGCAGTGTTGATAAATATATTTTTATCTAGATAAAGATAAAGATAACTAAATTATTTATTCATCTAGATAAAGATGAAAAAAAAAATATTTTATCTAGATGAATTATCGGATAAATTTTTTATATTTTTTTATGGCACTCTCCGTACGCTCTTAGCGATATAGAGTAACTTAATAGTATGATATCGAAAATGTCGATAGTTATTATAAATACTACCTACTTAATAAATAACTTAATTGTCTACCTATATTCTATAATAAATAAAAGCCATTTAATAAATTAAATTATCTGGATAAATTCATCTAGATAACGGTGATTTTTATCTTAGATAACTGTGCAAATTAATATTTTCCACTTATCTAGATATGATAAAAGATAAATGAATATTTATTTAGATAAACTCAATACTGGACCTAGGTAGTTAATTCAATATTATTACTATTATAATTTCTTGAGTTAACAATAAAATATTATTATTTGAAAGTCACGTTTTTGAAACAATTAAATAATGTATTTGTATATTTATAAAACTATAGTATGATTTCGTTTAAAATTTGAGAATTTCTATAATTCATAATTCAAAAACCCTTTACAGTGTATAATTTGAATATTTTTTATGAAAACTATGTTGAATGTGGTGTTCACTAAACGCTAGGCAAGTACGTATATTACAACGACTAACTTGAATTTTAGTTTTACATAATTTCGAAAGGTTTTTTCTATTATATTAAAATATGCCTCTAAACTATATACCTAATAATAATATAACTCTATGAAAAACGAATTAGGTACTATAGTTATGAAATGTTGGTACAATCTGAAACACGTGCTTACCAGCCACTTATCGTTGTGTATTGTTCATCATTATGTGAAATGGTTCGAATAATGTAATTGCGAACAGTGAGTGGTCGATCGCAAATGAGTTGGTCAGTATGAATGGCTCTAAAGGTATGGCCAACGCGTAGCGAATGCATTGTAGTTTATGAGATTACCTATTCAGACCATTTGAAACAGCATCCATTCGTTCGTGTCGTTCCACATCTGTTGGTTTTCGTGTAACAACGCTTTAATAGTATACAATTTGAGTGAATATAATAATATATCGTTGACTATACTTGTGCGAGGATATTGAAAACAAGACGGAGACGAATTAGTATAAAATATATTGGTGTAATACTGTGTGTGCATTTTGATTATAAAACATATATAGCTTATGTGTCGAATAAGGAGCAAAGTAATCACCGTAAAAAAAAAAAATGTTGACTTCGCCATACCTATTGCAGTTAAGCCATCATAAAATACCCCTAATGTCTGTAAACTTTAAATTAGTTTCCACTATTCAAATTAGTTTATAGCGACAGTTTGAAATGTTTATTCCTTGAAAAAAAACAAACAATGAAACATAATATTAGGTGGCTTTATAATGTAAGACATTCATTTTCACGTTTGGATAACAATGTTTTTTTGTTATTTAAAATTAAGTAAGTACATCTACCATCTACTCATTCTGCATATACCTACATACAATAATTATGTAATAGATAAATTAATATTTTAATATCACACAAATCGACTAATAAAGTAATGACTCATTTTTAAAAAAATAACTTACATAAATAATAAATCATTGACAAAGAAAAAAAAAATATCAAAGTAAAATGTTGTCTGAACTTTTAAAACATCGTAAACACATGTGATAATATTCTTCACTCATGACGTGAATACATAATATTATATTGTTTCATGGGATAGTTTTTTTCCCCCCAACTGTACATTTTATTTAAGAATTTATGGTTGTAAATAATTCCATAAAACTAAAGTTTTTACTTTCTACCTATGTATTTGCTTTTAAAATAATATATTGTTATTTATAAAAAAAAGCATTTTTCCACATTAAACACATTTGTATAAACTTCGAAAAACGTAAAAAGATAAAGTATAAAATGTATACCGACGCAATGTTTTTGCATTTGATAAATATTACAAACGATACAATCTATACAACCTCTCGCAGTATTATAGTGCTGATACGTTTAGTGACGGTGAAATAGTAGTACCGGAAGGTGAATTAAGACCGATCCTAACGTAGGTACAGATAATAACTCAATTGTTGCACATAATGACTTAATATTTGTAAAAGGAAATATTGTGTACATAACATGTACATATTTTATGTCTATGCGTATTTTGCTGTCGTAAACTTTGGTTGGCGTGACAAATCTGATATTCCTTTATTTAATTAGAGCTTAACGAATTATTTATACCCTACAGCACGCACAATATGTTCATCTGGCGGACAAAAACTTATGAAGGGCTTATTGTATCGGTGCATTGTTCAACCGTGTTATGGTTTTTTTTTTTTTTTTAATGGTAATTTATTAATTAGTGAACAGAATGATACTGTTAAAACAATTATACTACCACCGACATTGGCCAAAAGCCACTTGAGTTACGCAACCATAACCATTTAGATATATTTTATCAGTCCACCATGCTGCACATTTGCCACTTGTTATTATTCGGATTGTAATTTCCAATTTTTTTTTTTTTTTGTACCTATACACAATGGAAAGGTGTTTTTTTTGAGCTTTATATCATTGGAAAAACAATAAACGAGTACGTAAAAAGGACGGTGAAAAAAAGCACTCACCGGTTTACAATGTAACAATTATTTTTCTTTTTTTTTTTTAATCACTATCAACACTCGAGTGTCAAATAAAATTTGCAAAATATTATTGCGATTTATGAGTTAATTAAAATTTGGTCGTGTTTCCGTTTTGAGCCATGTTATTAATTGCGTTAAACGTCAAAATAAATAGCCTTGATTAAACAACGGCCCTAATGCGTATTCAGTGTCATCATGAAAAACAGGTATAGGTATGAAGGTTCCTATAGTTTAAGTATACAACCATGCACTTTGCTACATATCCGATCTCCGTATTCATCAACGTACGACCTGTATCATATTTCCCAAAATCGTATATAGGTACTATAATTATACAAACATAATAATTTAGCTACCCCATGTGAGTTTTATGATACATAGTAAATTGTTGTACTCTAACATATTTTTGATCATATTATAAATTATAATATAATTATTTTAAACATTATTATATCTTAATAATTTGACTATCGAATCTACAATAATAACAGAGACATTATAAACTGGTATTGTATATAACTATATAGTATTAAAAATCTATTACTATACTATGCCCTATGGTATACTACATTACTACCCTAATACTATAAGGGCCCTTATATAACCCTTATCCTTGTGACTGTGCAAGACTTTAAGTTACACATAAAAGTATACAATGCTAACTATAAAATATTATGGTGAAAATAAGACGATTAATGTGTATGATGTAATATACTTACATGAATATAATTTAAATATCTACTTGAACTGATAAGTGATGAATCAATTAGTCATACAATATTTTTTAATTTAAAATGTATTCTTCTTTTTCTGTATACCTATTCCTCTTTCGCTCACAACTATATAAATTTGGCCCCTTAAATCCCCTGTCTTATAATATAATACCTAGCTAGTAACTAGGTATAAATGTAGAAAAATATTTTTTTTGGTTAAAAAGTACCAAAATTGGTCACAGATGGTGCTAACTTTTTTTTGTATATACCTATACAGATTTTAATTCTGAGCTTAATTTTTTTAATTGTTTATTTCGTGGTTTATAATTAATTATATCATTAAAAACTAAAACAAACGCAACAGCTCTAGGCTTTAATTATATCACCATAAACTATATTAATTCAATTTTTTTTATTACTACCATTTTTTGGTACTTTACATTTTTTTGAAATATTGTGTATATAATTGTTTTTCTATTTCAAATGAGTATATTTTGTTCCTTATTTTAACTTAATTTATAAAGTATAAACTATAAACTAAATATGACATTAATATGACTTAATCAAAAATTATTTTGTTGTTGTTGAACCGATGATAGAGGTCTGAGGAAGAGACTTTCTTTCGCATTGCTTAGCTTAATGCAACCTAATAGTAACTTTATGACTTCAAAATCGGCCATTGCTGTAATTAGAGTTCTGAACTATTTTCACAATGATCGTTGATGATTTACTTTTATTAAAACTGTACTTAATAATCAAAAGATGTGTATCTTTTTTGATTTATGAAAGTATGGTTGCTTTAAAAGTATAAACTAATAAGCCTGATAAGAGTAGGTATAATATTATTTATCTGGAATAAGATTATTACAATATAACTCTTAAAATATAGTGCCTCCTGTCACCTGATTACATAAACCTTTATTACAACTTTTACATTTATTTAGACGTTAGATAATGGATATTAATTTCTTGGTATATATAAAAAGAATTATTTATTGTATTAAGCTATTAAGTATTATTTTTTTAACAGGTATTATTTTATTGTTTAAAATTGAAATAATCTAAACAATTTTACATTTTATTAAAAAAAATAGTTATGTAGTACTATCATGCGCTTCCCATGTACAGTATTATTTTGATTTTATAGTGAAATGATGAGGTCTGCGGCATTGAGTACGAAACGTGTGTCCAGTTATTGGGCTGGTGATGAGCAAATCAAGATCAAGCCTTTCATAGTGCTAGCCTTTGTCTTGTTCTTGTTCGTACAAATTCAATCTTGGTATTGGTTTTTGTATTTTTATTGTATACTTAATCTTGACTCACACATCAATATCCATACCGATTTCGAAAGAATGAAATAATTATTCCGCATCAGCTTAATGGTGCACAACAGCTACTATATGTATTTATAATATTATTTCCGATTATTTCTTATAAAGCTTTCAACCATTTATAATTTC